AAGTCCAAAATTTTCACCTTAAAAAACACGTTCATAAACCAATTCAGCTTTAAAAATGAAAACAAAAAAACACTTTCCCTCTCAAATCCATGGGGACTTATGCCTCACAAATTTATGGTTATGCAAAAAATACGCACTTACAAATGCTACAGTCATTCTTATCCAAATTGTCAAAACTGACATCAGCTTCCTTGTACGTAAACAACAAAACTTTACATACCGAATTTCGACAACCAACTATCGACCAATACATTCGTACTCTCTATTCCTGATTACATCTTGAATTACACGGGCATTACAATGGACTTATCAACATAAGCCACAACTGACATGCCCATCAGGAGACGATTGAAGAGGACTCCTTTCCTAAATTCAGGAAGTAAACCAAGAACACCCAGGTGCTGCTACTACTCTTCCTCATGTCTAAAAATTTAATTTTCTTAACAATAACAATACATCTGCTTATTGCCAAGCTTAAGGCAGTTAAGGATGAAAGTATGAATAAAAAAAAATGTAGACTTTTATTTAAATAAAAGAAACCAGTTTACCCCAAACTATCTTCTATATACGTATATTAATGGGGTAGCACAGTGAGTAGTGAAGTACAGATACTGTACTTCTGTTCTTCCTGTCGTGGGTTCGCCTCTAGATGTAAACACTTAGTATGGTAGGTAAATACACGGTCTGTTACTCTAGTCTAGGATCGAATCTTGATTCTCTTCTGAATCAGACTCATCCTAGAAAGAAAGAAAACCTGGCGGTTAACCTTTATATCGGTAAGTTTATCTCCTTGTTCATCGTTGACACAGAAACAATTCCTCAAAGTACTAAAACCATGAACCTTCATGTACAGCAGTGGTACATATTTATTTATTTTTTTTTTTTTATAATAGTTTAAATAAAAACCTTATATTCTGAATGAAAGCACTACAGAAATGTCCTGAACTAGTTTAATATTCATTTTAAAAAATAATTTTCATTACACCTGTTCCGAACTCAAAAGGAGTTAAGACCAATTTTGTGTTTTTCTTAAGGTGGGCACTTTTTTGTTTTTGTTTTTTTTATTAAATGAAAAATTATCTTTGTTCAAGATAATGAAATTCTAAGTGAAAAACGTAAAGTAGACAAAATTTTATTGATAATAAGTGATTAAATTTACTAAGATTAATAATAAAAGGGACTTTCAGTAGGTCTAATATGTCCGCTTTACTGCTGCAGTTACATTACCCAAATCCAATTCCAATTCTAATAGGCTTTGCGTTATTAGAACTTCTGAAAGTTCCTTTTATCTTTGACCTTAGTAAATTTAATCATTTTTTCTCAAAGAAATTCTTATCTACTTTACATTGCTCTATTTAAAATTGTATTATTGAATTGAACAATTTCTGTGCAATTCCTATTCAATAAAAAATGTTACCATCTTAAGAAGAAACACAAAGTTGGTCTTACCTCCTTTTTAAATCGGTCCATGAATTAAATGAACTTTTTTGTTGGAAATTTTCCCTATAATCAACGCACAGGGTTTGGACAATAATAACTGAGGAACTTTTTGCCGACTCTTTAAGAAACAGATAACTTGAATGATGAAGAACTCAGAGGATTATAATTTCATTGAATAAACATTTTAAATTAGATTTTATATCGAGCATTGCATTGCATATCATTTGGATTATATGAATTATAAACATTTCTACAATCACTATATTTACCATAAGGGTTTTAGCCAAAAATGTTTTCAATTTCTTCCGTTTCCATATCCATCTAAGGAGTGAATAGTACGTACTATCTGTAAATGTCATGTGAAAGTTTAAGTTAATGTCTTAAAGTTAGTAACGGTCCGTTGTGAATTTGAGTGAGAAAATAGAACAAAATACGTTAGCACAAAGATTTAAATTTATATGAGGACCATATTTCCTTGGATCTAATTACAGAAACTCATTTCATCCCTACTCAATTCCGCCTTCTCATAACTTCACCGAATTTAAAGCAGGTGTTTCAACTTCTTAGAAGCCTTATACTTGCAATATGCTTTAGGTATATTATTTACTGTTTCCTTTAAAGCTACTAAATCATTCAAATGTATCTTCACCTATTTAATTACTTAGAACCGTTTGTGGTCTGAAAATTAAATTTTATTTATATACATTTTTCGTCACAACTCATTTTCGATAAATCATTTTTAATACTATATTTACAACTTACCTTTCAGGAAATAAGAACCAGTTGTTAATTAATAATCACTTAATACCTAAAAAATCTCATAAAATCTATTTCGTAGTTGTTTTGACATGCAGAATTTATTTTTATAATTATTATATAATTGTAAATATATTTTTATAAATTCAATGCTTTATTATTCGTCTTATATTTTTTCTGAGTTCATGTTTTTTCATGCGTTTAATTCCTATAATTTTAGTTCACATTCTTCTAAAATTTCACAAAAACGTTATATAATTTTGGTATTGAAATTTCTATCATTAAATTAAAAATAGACAATTGTGTGTCTGGCTAAAGTGCTTTCGCTCAATTTCCAGTGACTTTTAGTAACAGTGACGCGATTTCTCTACAACAATGTTGGTAAATGAGTAATAATTAATGAGTAATTAAATTAATTTCATGGTCATGAATAATTTGTACAATTAAATTAATCATTACGCTCATCGTGATGAGTGATCACTCTTAATAATTTAGCCAGGAGTAAATCACTGGGAGTTGTGATAAAAAAAAATTGTTTTTGTTAAATATATTTTTATAAGTATAAAATGTTTTTATCCAGCCTCCAAAAAAATATTAGATTTAATGAAAGAAAAGTTTTTTTTATCACTACTGGTGACAAAATGAGTTATGAGTGATTTAATCATGGCTATTTTAAAGTGATCACTCATTACCGTAATAGTACTCATTACTCATGATCATTTAATTACACATTAATTATTTCTCATTTAATTAGGTAATTAATTAGAGCTCATACTGCTTTACTAGTCCGGTTCAAAGACAGGTGTAGTTTCTAGTTCTCTTTGCTGATTGTAAATATTGTGCATAAGTATGTGTTTTTAGAAGATTATTTTATTTTTATTGAACTTCAAATGTTCTACTTGTATATATACTTTTTATTATATCTGTTTTGTATGTACGTATTGCATGAATGAGCATTTACATTTCAAATACTTGTGCCCTTTAGAAAAAAAAAAGTGAACCAGTCACATAAATTTTATTGGCGTTATTAAAAATATTCTTAAATCCGATTAGAAGTTGTTCATATTAAAATTTCTATGCCTCTAAGTCTTTGGCTAACCTGGCTTGGACTCCGGTTGTGGCAAAATATTACTTATTTAGTTATATCAGCATTATTTTGACCCTCGGGTAGGAAACTCTTCTGGTGTATGTTCTATATATTTTATTTACCATAATTTAGTACCAACAGTAAAGTAACATCCTGGCGGTTAAACGTCGGTCTTGACTAAATCAGCACTTATCGCAACAGTTGATTTGGAAACAGTGCTTACTTACCAATTACTTATACCAACTAAGGCCCCTTACCATATGTTATATTTAAATGTGTTTAATTAAAAAAAGATAAATAGAAAAAAACGGACATGAAGCTGACTTCTTTGTTTCAAATTTAGTGAACAACAATTGAACTGAATTAATACAAATTAAAAACGATTCTATTTTGAAGCCTAAAAAGCAATCTGCGAAAAAGTAAAAGTGTGAAATTAAAAAAAAAACAAAACAGCATCTCTCATTTTACTTGAGCTGAAAAAAAAATATACATATATGTATATATTTAAATACAATGTACCTAATATTTTTTTATTGATCATTAGCGATGTGTATTTGTTTTACTGAAAAACGTCCAACGCCCTTTACTGGAAAGAAATTCTTCAGGCTCTCAGATTTTCTTAGTTAATATGTAATGTGCACAGATTAGGTTATTGCAAAAACTTCGCAGATCACAAATTTCAAACCCGCCTAACTTATACTTGTTTAAATAAATTAATATAAATAAGCTTTTTATATTGGTTACTTTCTTAAGATTTTTATCTTTTTTTTTATTATTATTTTAATGGAATTTACAACTGTATTACATAGAGAATACAATAAGTAAATGAGAAATTTGTAACATTGGCATGTACAACATGAAGAGAAACTACCCATTGGTAGAACTCAAATTAACGTTCTATATTAGAAGATCTTGTGGCCATCTTCTTTTCAGACGCCTCGGAGGTTTATCAGGGATCGAGGAGGAAGCAAAGTTTGAAACGAGAGGATTCAGATGGTTCTGCAGTTTGTTATGGAAGGAAAGGTATCTGGATTGGGCCAGATCGGAAACATATGGAACATTAAGGTCTTTATGGATGATTTTATTTGTGAGAAAGTAAGGAGCGTTGAGGATTTTACGAAGGATTTTGGATTGTAAGGATTAGATACGAGAGGAATTCGATGGTTTAGTGGAGCCCCAAAGCTCAATTCTGTAAGTCCAAATAGGTCTTATTATTGTCATATATACGAGTCGTTTATAATTGATTGAAAGCTTAGATCGTTTGTCTAGTAAGTGCTGCAGTAGTCGAAAACGTCGGGCGGTTTCTAGTCTTTTATCTTTTAAATTTAACACTCACAAAAAAAATCAATTGTATAAATAAAACATAAACCAAACATATATACATATAATACGCGAAATTAGCAGAGGGTATGTAATACTTAGCAAATCAACTGCTCTCGCGAAGGGTTACTATGCAAAAGAAAATATATAATATAAGTTATTTACATATATTTAATATACTCGATGCTATTTTTTAAAATTAAATAATAACATAGTTTTTTTTTTTGTTTTTTTTTTTAGGACAAAAATATAATATATATGAAAAGTGTTTAATATGACAATAGTATCGGGACATTGTCTAAAGCCTGCTTTCGATTTAGTTTGGTATTATTCAAATTTAAAACCATAGATGTAACTTAATATTAATTTTTCGTTTCATCCCTCAAAGTGGGTAGCAGACCCATCGGAGCGATGACATCACTTTCACTGTGAACTATCGGCCGATGATGCTGGGGGGTTAGGTTCGGCCTCGAACCGGAGGTGTATATAAGGAGGGTGGTAGACAACCCCAGCATAACTTCATCCACTCCTTCACCGAGCACTACAGTAATGGCTTCCTTCAAGGCACTCGTGAGTAAATTGTGCTACAATTTAATATTCAATTAATTTTATTTAGTTTTAGTTATAGCGAAGATAAATCTAAACGAAACAAAATTCAGAGATAGAAAATAGAAAAAAAAAAATCATTCAAATGGATTACTTTTCGTTTGCATGTTAAACCGAGACTAATAAAACATTTACGGCCTAAACTTAATACTTTCAGTAATATCATTATTAAAATATACTTATTTAATTTGTAAAACAAAAATATGGTTTTCTTCTGTAATGTTTTCTTAGTTTCATAATTTTCGATGGGTGTACTGTACTGTATTTAATTTAAATTGTATTTAAATAATTACTAATTTTTTTAAACACAATACATAATTGTAAACAGGAAATAAAAAGGTCGTCTGAATTTCATTTCGTGAATAAAATAATTTTTTGACTGTGCAATTTCGTAAGATGGATATTTTGTGTCATTATTTTACTGCAGAAATCATAAATTTTTTTTAATATTCTCTAAGTATAGCATTCAGTCTGACTTTTGACTTGAGACAGCCATATTGAGATGTATTCATAGATGCTGAAGTTTCTCATACCTGACTACGCATATAACGTTATTGCCAACTTAATTAAGTTAAAAAGTTTTCCATTTTATTTGGGAATATTTTAAAAAATTTTTTTTTACATATTATTATTTTTGGCTGATCCGATAGTTTCTCACTTGCATATAAATAATAAAAAAAAAAAGTCCCGATAGAAACGTCAATTTTTTTTTTTAGAATTAATCGATATTAAATAATTCAAATGAAGGACTTAAATTTACTTAATAAGATATTTTATAAAATAATACACTTTATAATTAAGTTTTTTTTTCATATACTAATATCCAAAAAAAATCATGCTAAAACAAAATTAAGCGTTAATACAATTATAATATAGTATAATATATCTATACAAGATAGGCTTGGTAAATTGTAAGATCATAGTTGTAAATTGTGTCATCAAGGAACAATGGATGCAGACCATCTAGATACGTCCATATAATATATATATATATATATATATATATTAAAAAATCTAATTATACTGGGCTGAAAGATGTCGGATGGCCAAATGACCAATGACTTTGGCATAAGAGAAAATATATATATATATATATGTATAATATAGTACATTACGATAACCTATTATTTATTTATTTTTAATGTTTTAAGTCTCTTTTGGTTATCATTTCCAGTACACTGTTTTGTTCTTTTGTCTGTATTTTACACGCTCCAGGTAACTTCAAAAGTATATCTTTTCCCTCTCTGAAATACATTTTTGAAACGTTTGGATGGACTACTTGACTGAGTTATTTTTTTTCTTTGTTCCAGAAAAAAACAGCACATACTTTTTTCCCTTTTAATTGAAAACTCATTGCGGTATTTAATTCATAAAGAAATAATGTGGGAACCACTGTTACAAAAATATCCAACAATTGTATGACTTTTAGAAAAAGTCAATATTCTTATGAAATTGGCCTTATCATACAATACATTTATCAAAAATAACGAAATTCTTAAAATTAACTTTTAACTGTGCATTATTTTTTATATTTTCATTCTTTTGCATTTTTCAGTATAAATTGAAATTTATCGGACCACACACAAAAATCAAAAGTTTTGTGCATGAGAGTTTTTGAGAAGAAATATAATTAATACGAATACTGGGTCTTTTGAATGTCAGTTAATTTCAATAGATAAAATAGGCTGTTCTATAATTATACGATGATTGTTTTCTACCTCAATGTTGACACGGTAAATGTAACGCTCAATGGTCCATTGACAATTCTATAACTTCAACTGTGTAGGTCGACAACACTTAAAATAAAAGTTAACTGCCCTCCTGGAATTAGACCTTTCAACCAAACGGCTTTTAAGAGATCCTCGTACTCCTAAACTCTCTCTACTCCTATTGGAAAAAGGTGCCTAGGGGGAAATCGTGTCTGGTATAGAAATTCGTTTTAGACTTCTCCGCTTGTTTGAAAAACTTCAGGTTTTGTATAAACCACTATAACTAAAAAATGTGGGTAGTTATTACTAAACGGTACTTAATCCATATTATTTCAAGGTACAGACACAAACCGCCGCGTTACCGAGACCATAGATTCATTTTTATAGCAGTCATTAAATTCTATCATAAAAAAAGATATAATTCTCTGAACTGCTTATCATTTTAAATATGGTCATTGTATACTCTATCCAATAAAAAGCAATTAAGTTAGTTTTTTCTTTATTTTATTCATAGTTATTCAATTTATTATTTAGTAGGAATAATATAAGTGTACTTTTGTTGCTCAGATTTTTGCTACCCTATGCGCAGTGGCTTTTGCCGAAGATGATGTGGTCGAGAAGACAATAGAGAAGAGGACAGCTGCTGGAGCTATTGGTATTTCATAATTACACTTTTTTAATGTTCATTTTATAGTAATTTTATGGTTCTTTCCAATAAAAACGAATTTATACTATATATAATCTTGCCACATGAAATAGAATATTCTTATTAACCTAATACCATAGATACATTATTTCTTTTAATTATTATTTGGGATTTATATTGACCGTCCTTCTCAGAAAAAAGAGTACATTTTCAATAATTATCTTTTTCATGGTTACCAAATAATAACTAAAAGTAAACAATTTAATGAGTATTATATTGGTTTGTTAATCTTTTTTACCGATTAGTCAAATTTCAGAAAAAACTGTAATAAAAATGTTTCAATTAAAATACTATTCTATTGTAGAACTAGAAGTAACCAAACCGTTATAAAGTTTTTTCGTTCATTATCGCTGACGAGGATAACTGAAGGTTTTTTTGTTTCTTTTTTATTTTATTACACTCTAACCACCATTTCTGGCATAAGGGACTGTTACAATACAACTAAAGCTGTTACAAATTTAGGATGATATGCGGAAAAGATGTATTAAAAAGAAAATTCGGAGACGGTTGATGCATTTCCGAACAAGACGACGTTGCGGAGGATTCTCAGAAGTAAGAGATACGATACGTATCAGGTTGCAGGAGGCAACTAACACCGACCGATCAAAGTGATGTAACTTAGCTGACAGTTTTGAACTTCCTATTGCAATATTATTTTTTGCAATATAATATAATTTCTATTGATAATTTACTTTTTTTATGGTTCTTGAAATTATTGTTGGTACTGTCTTTAGGCAATGTAAATGTTTTTATATTTTTGGTAAATTAAAAATATATATATATTAAATAGGTTATGGTGCTGGAGCATACCCTGGCTACGCTGCTGGAACTTACTCAGGTTATTCTGCTGGAGCTTATCCAGGCTACGCATCGGGAGGTTATCCTGGCTACTCTGGAGGTGCTTACCAAGGCTACACTGGTGGAGCCTATAACCGATACGGTGGAGCTTATCCAAGTTACAGTGCTGGATCTTATCCAGGTTACAGTGCTGGAGCTTATCCAGGTTACTCTGCCGGTGGATACAAAAGCTATGGAGGATACAGTTCTTACCCAGGCTACACTGGCTCAGGCTATGCTGGCTCAGGCTATGCAGGCTCAGGCTATGCTGGCTCAGGCTATGGTGGCTCGGGCTATGGTGGATATGGTGCTGGATACGGTTCCACCGGATACCCTGGATATTCGTCCTACTCTGGCTACGGTTCCAGCGCTTACCCATCAGGCTATGCTGGAAACTCCGGCTATGGCGGCTACCCAGGAAATGCTGGCTACACTGGATCAGGATATTCTGGATACGGAAGCCACTCCTACAAGGGATGGTAAAGGAGTCATTAAAGTGTTACCAACTTAACAAAGTCATTTCCATATAATTTCCGTCCCACCACAGAAGTCACAACTCATTACCAGTTCTTTCGTTTTGTAATAACTTCATAATAAATTTTTTTACATAAATATGTTTTAATATTCTTTCATCGTAACCCTAAGTCACAGGCATTAATAAGCAATACGTATACAATAGTCTAGCAAAGTTTTTGATTTTTTAAAACAAAAAATCAGAAATTAATGTCTATATTAAGTTTATATTTGAGCCCAAGCTTACTGTCTAATCATATGGAGGAGTCTTTTTAACTTCGATAATTTAAAAGATACAGTAAGGATTTATTATTTTCATTCATATAAAATAGTAAAATAAAGTTTTTCTGAATTAATATTAAATTTATACATTTCAGAGAAGTAAACATTTACGAAAAATATATGAAATATTAAATTATGATCTATTTTATCCAATTTATTTCTTCATTAATGGTAGGCTGTAATTACTATGTAAGTAAGGTGTTTTATGCAATATATCGAAATCAAACATCCTCATTTTTTTTTCAATCAATCAATTCTTTATTGAGAGATATTACATTCTGTTACATCCAAGTACACTAGTAATAGTGATGGAGTAGTTCTTTCGAACTCTATACAATAAATAAAAATAAATTAAACTGCAAAATAATAATACTAAAGTAAATATATTATATATACAAACTAAACTAATCCAAATAACAACTTAAATACAAACATGCATTTGTACTATAGCCGCATTACTGGTATTAAGTACCAGTGGAAACTAAGCAGAGGCCCTATAACCAGACATGCATGACTTGACTGAAGAATCTGGCTATTACCAGAACAACAATATTTACTTATTTACAAAAAGTCTGTCGAGGTATATAGATGCAGAGGCAGTATATGCAAGTTACCAGAAGGTCTCGACAGTGCTTGTTCAGTATTGAGTGTAAGATGACTGAGTGGATGAAGGAAGGTGAATAGAAGGATGACCTCGAGCGACAGGCGGATCAGCTCCCAATCACTCTCGGTCTGCGGTGTAAGAGATGAAGCTCAACACTCCGCAAGGATGGTATCCACAACCGGAGGTATCAATCTGCTGACTTGTGGGAGGATGAAATACTGACGGAAGGATCAATCCCCTGACTCAGTATATAGAAATACAAGCGGACGGATCAGCATCCAACTTGTATGGAGTAGGAAAAGAGGAAAAAGGTATCAGGATGTTGTTAAATAAGAAGAACAGACTAAGGTGAACCAAAAGCGTACATGAGGCATATACTGACCATCTACGGTCTACACCCTGAAGGGGTGGAGATTCGTAGATCTAACAATTTGAGGTTTGACTGCGGTATTCATTCCGCCAAGACTAAACCGGCTTCCAAGAGGCGTTACAATAACTTTTTTTTTTAGCTTTGATCAGTATATGTTAACTTTATTAATAAAAATTATTTACAATGAATATGTATATTTCAATTTACTATTCAAGTATTTTATAATACATAATATAAGAAATAAAAGATACAATTTTTGGTATGTGGCACGGGCGAGCTTGTAGAGCGCTGCCTGGTAGCAGGAAGGCGAACTCGTTGTTCCTTGTAGTAAGAGCGGGAATCTGGTGTCGCTACAAGTCCTTTGGGTCACAGCGCTTCACTCTTCAATGATGATTTTAGGAAATATTGGATCTAGATAGAGATTGAGCAAGTGGATTTGGATGATATGTAAGATTTTGATGGAATTTGCAAACTTTAACTGGGAAGTTAAAATGGGATATGTAGATCATGGTGTAGGGGTTTGTTGATAAAACGGAATATCTACTATTGTTCAAAGGACTTTTGACTTTGAATGCATTTGATGTTAGAAAATGTTGCTGTCCACCATAGTTCGAGACCGTATGAACAATAATGTTTCAAGATTGTCTTGCAGATCAGTAATTTGTTGTCAATTGAAATTTGAGATTTTCTAGTAGTCTAGTAGCCATATCGTTGATTAAGTTCTTGTATTTTAAGACTAGTGTGTGAATATTATATTAGTCTTTGTCCATGGGAATACCAAGATACCAAACTTTATTTGAGATAGGAAGCTGGATAGAATTGAAGGGTATTTTGGGACAGGAATTGCATCGTGGAGTAAATGTAATATGTTTGCATTTTGATTAATTTACTTTAATTCACCATTTATTGCAAAATTGTTCAATCATGTAGAGGTGCCTTTATAGATTTAAGAATGCTATTTCTAAATTGAGTTGGCTGATCAGATTTCGGTTTCATCAGCAAATGTTGAAAGGAAGGTAAAGGAATGAGCAGAGGAGTCAACGTTAAACAGGATTTAAAGCACGTAATCCAAGACACTTCCTTGTTGAACACCAGCTTTAACCGGATAAATATCGGAAAATGCTGTCCCGCAGTGCACTAGAAAGAAACGTTTAAATGGGTAGATTCGAATCAATTGGTATAAGGACTGAGGGAGATGGGGTTTAAGCTTGAAGAACTGTGCCATAACTCGGTCAAAAGCCCGTGCGTATTCCAGAAATGCACACCAACAGGGTTTTTCTTTTTGCTTGTTTTCTTGAGTTATGATAATATGATCAACGATATGATGATATTATGATAACGATTCGAAGTTCATGTTAAACAGTGGAATGTTTTGAGCGAAAACCTGAGGTATCATGGGATAGGCGTATAGGAGCGTATCCCATGAGGTGGTGCAGGTCTTAGCAAGACGGGTACCTCTCGACCACCTCCTGCGTGAAGACTTGATGAAATATACGTTTAAGAAAAACGGCTCAGCTAGTCTGTTGAGAAACCTTAAGATGAAAATTGACGAGAACCCTCGCAAATGGAAATACATTATACGGGAGGACACAGTGAAGAATGAAACCTTTTTTTTTTTTTTTTTTTTTTTTTCCTCCCTACCTGGCCATTTCTGGCATACGGGGTCGAAAGAATGAAACCTGCGGAGGATGATAACCCCAAAAGGATCTACCTGGAGGAAGTACTTCCCCACCGTCCGGTCACGTTTAGAAGCAAAGGGGTCCTCCCGGACTATTCGCTCTCGCAATTTCTCACAGTCCATGGAGGCTTTCGAGCAAAACTTCATAGCCATGGGATGGACATCGACCCCCTATGCACTAACTGCGGTGTCTCGGAGATTGCTGTGCACATCATAGTCGACTGCACCGCCTTTGAAGAACTAAGGGCTAAATTATTGAGGGATACCGGTCTCTACGTCGTCATTGAGAATGTGAAGAAATGTGTGTGAGAAGAGAACGATTTCCCTCAGTTAATCACTGAGGAAAATTACCCGTACGACAGATGGATCGATTTTGTGTACAGATAGAAAGTCGCGGTGGGCCCAGCCCATTTCAATCTAAGAAGAGGAGGAGGATATACTTGATCATTGGTATGAAAAGTATAGGGAAATCACTCAAGACAATCAAATAAATCAAGAAGGGGCAAAATATCAAGCTTTACTTGCAGCAGCAAGATGTTAAGCTTACCTGCCTAATATCTTACTATTCAACATGCCTACAAGGCACAGAAGAGTTTTAAATAAATATTGGAGAGGTTTTTGGCAAACTCCTTGCCTTTATCTTCGTCATATGCTGCACAGGAGCCGTCATCTCGCTGGAGGGGATGAGAAATTGGGGGAAGTTTTATAATTTTTGTTGTGTTTTCCTAAACGGGATTGTCATGGCCAGAGAGGGACGATGGATAGGAGTTGAACGGTTATAAGGATACTTCCCACTTTAGTTTTTTTTGCAGTAGAAATGAGTTGGCTCGTCGTTTCATATGGATTAGCTCTAAAATGTATTGAGGTAGATTAGATATTTTGGAATTCTGGGATAGTCTTTTAGGGAGAAGGCAGTGCATTTAATTTGTTAAATTGTGGTAGTAGAAGAATTGATGGCACTATCAAGGTCGTCGGAAGATTTTATAGATATATATAAGTGAATTTTGTCGGAGAGGATTTGGCAGAAAAGGTCCCAGTGAACTGGCCGGCGGCTTTTTTAACCGCTGTATTGAATTAAAATTAATTCATTTGATTGTACAATTTTTGTACAAAAAAGTTTAATTTTTGTAGTAGAATGTTAATATATTTTGCTTCTCCAATCATATACATTTTACCTCTCCCAATCCATATCCCAATTAGCATTTGTTTTGTCCAAAAACTGAATTTGTAATTAAAATTATTATTTAATTGATCAGTAATTTTCAGAAAAATGTTCTAAAAGTCAAAAATTTCTCAATTTATTAAAAAAAGATATATTATATTATAATTGGAATAGAAAATATAAAAAAGAATTTTTTTTTTTTGGTATTTCCTGGAAAATTGTCAATGAAAATATAAAATGGAAAGGGCTCAAATTGGAAATAAATTACTCAATTCAAAGATGAATTTTCCTTGTTGTCAAACCGTGATTGCCTAAGCAATACTTCGTCGACAAAGATATCTTGTTCTCTCTATCAGAATATCTCTCGATTCCACATGTGGCGTCAAACGAAAAATTGAGGCATACATATATTTTAAATAAGGAATGGTGTACCTCAGTGTTAGAGCGCTGTCTACTAATCTTCAAGGTCCCATTTTCGAATCCCGGCTGATCGTAGATAAATAATTTATTCTGTTTCATCTGCCGTAGATCGACTCTGGGATCGAGAGAACTTCCGAGAGCACACCCGGTACCTTTTTAAAGTGGAAACTCTTATTACTGGTTAAAGGAGAAAACCAGGAGGTTGAGCGTTATGTCGGTCAAATCACCCTCTTGCACAACCCTTCACCAAGAAATTGTACTTCCTTACAAATAACGGAACCCAAGTCAGGGGTGTTAATGGTAGAGTTTTTTTTTTTTTATTTAAAATTATAATTGAATTACATATAAATATTTTAAAGAAAAAAAATCGGGTCCGCGGATCACACAACTTCCACTTACCGCTCTACTTTGTATAAAGATTATATTGTGGCAATGTTGGGCTATTATAAAAATTGATTATATTCCTATTATTTTTTAAACTGTTATTTTCCATTTTAAAGATTATTAAAACGTAATTACCTGATCTTCATTGATTGCTATAGATAGGTCAAAAGTTGTCACACTAATTTTAAGTGTATAATGC